AGTAGAGATTTTAGTTTTTGATTGTTAATATATGACTGTAGATTGATGTGCAAACATGAAACTTTTATCCATTTGAAAATAAATCTACAACACAAAGTGTGCAAAAAATGAAAGGTTCTGATTTACATTCTGAAGCTACTGTATACACAACATTAACTACACCAGCAGTGAAGTGAATAACACTGATTATCTCATTACACTGGCACCTGTCAAGGGGTGGGATGTTTTAAGGCCAATTTATGTTTCTGCATCGAAACTATGCCATAGGTCAGGGCTGTCCCGAATGGCAATTTTTGGGCTTTGGAGTTTTGCTAGTAATAGTCAAATATCCAAATACTCACCTGGGGGATAATGTGTGTGTGAACACTTAGTCTCAGTTCTCAACTGAGATTGTGCTGCAGCTAAACGTAGGCTACCTCTTTGCCCTTCTGGTAGTACCTTGGGTTAAAAAAACAAAGTTCTTATGTAATATTTAATGTAACTGATGAACAGATGATGGATCTTCATAACCATTTGCATGTATGCCATCCTGTAAAATGTGCTACATTTCCATCATTGATGTGAAGTCAGCTACTAGTTTTACTAGTGGAGACATCTCACTTTGTTGGAATTGTTGGAACTACAGGGAAGCATTCAGTTCACTCTTAATTATTCTGTGGTGTTACAGAGTCATGTATCTTTACCTTATAAAAGATTTTCAGCTAACAGCAGACAGCTTTGTTGTTTGTTTCTCCACTGGCTGCAGCAAGGTCACAACATAAACCTGACATTAGTGAATTTCATATTGCCCTGTCATCAGTTTAAGTCACAGAGTTAATGTTAGAAAGCAGCAGCCAGCAGTACCCCAGCGCTTGTCATTATAACCAGCAACAGCAATGACCAGCTGCTACCTGAAAGGAGGGGTACACACTCAGACTGCACTGAAATTTCCTGTTGTCTTGATTATCCAAGTACTAAAATTGCTAAACAATTACCTACCCAATGAATGACTATTTGAATAGTCGAATATTTTGAGTCCAGCCCTAGCATAGGTATGGTATAGGTAATGCATGGCCTTGTACCCTATACCATAGCCTGATGTGCACCTCCCTGGAAATTTAACTGCATTTCACACCGTGATGCAGACCCAAACAACTGTGATTGGGTGCATCACATTTCCTTGTTTATATCTCAGTGGCTGGACAAGCAGAGAAAATCCCCCCCATAACTCCAACATGATCTGCTCAGTTTCAGACAACATTGTTTGTAAATGCCAAAGAAACACAACACAGTGATATAGAAACCCCACTGCCAACTAGTGTTTTGTCAGTGTAATTACAGAGCGACGCAGAGGCAAAGGCGCTAACCACTGTGCCACCGTGCTGCCCCACTATTTGACTAGTCGAATATTTTGAGTCCAGCCCTAGCATAGGTATGGTATAGGTAATGCATGGCCTTGTACCCTATACCATAGCCTGATGTGCACCTCCCTGGAAATTTAACTGCATTTCACACCGTGATGCAGACCCAAACAACTGTGATTGGGTGCATCACATTTCCTTGTTTATATCTCAGTGGCTGGACAAGCAGAGAAAATCCCCCCCATAACTCCAACATGATCTGCTCAGTTTCAGACAACATTGTTTGTAAATGCCAAAGAAACACAACACAGTGATATAGAAACCCCACTGCCAACTAGTGTTTTGTCAGTGTAATTACAGAGCGACGCAGACACCAGTGCACAAGTATAAATGCTCACAACAGCATAGGACACTTGCATAGCCTACGGCATAGGCTCTACATAGATTCAGTGCAGAAGCATAAATCAGGCTTTAGGCAGCGAGTGAACAGTCAATTCTTGAAGATGATGTGTTGGAAGCAGGAAAAATGGGCAAGCATAAGGATCTGAGCGACTTTGACGAGGGCCAAATTGTGATGGCTCGACGACTGGGTCAGAGCATCTCCAAAACAGCAGGTCTTGTGGGGTGTTCCCAGGCTGCAGTGGTTAGTACCTACCAAAAGTGGCCCAAGGAAGAACAACCGGTGAACCGGCAACAGGGTCATGGGCACCCAATCCTCACTGAGGCACGTGGGAAGCAAAAGCTAGCCCGTCTGGTCCGATCCCACAGAAGAGCTACTGTCTCTGTCTTTAACTCCACAGCCTCTGCAAAGAAAACAAAGAAGACTAAGGAACCAGAGGCTCCAATATTGTATGATGATCCTCCTGATAAACTGACCAGCAAAGATGGACGTGACGCCAACATGAAGATCACCTCCTGGAATGTTGATGGGCTGAGGGCCTGGGTAAAAAAGAAGGGCCTAGATGTGAGTTTGCACTTACCTTGAGCAATATGAGTTCATTGCCAGGTCGATAAGAGTTATGAGATTTTGTAAATGGTTGTGAGCATAATTCTTTGCATGTTCTTCCTTCATAGTGGGTGCGTGAAGAGGCTCCAGATGTTTTGTGCCTGCAAGAGACCAAGTGTGCAGAGAAAGATCTCCCTAATGACATCACCTCCATGCCTGAGTACCCGTACAAGTACTGGGCTGTGTCAGATGATAAGGAAGGTTACAGCGGTGTGGCCATGCTCTGCAAGACTGAACCCCTTAAAGTGGTCTATGGAATTGGTGAGTGGTGGTTTATTATGTTGGGCAGTTCATCATCTCTGTTGGTGTATTTATATTTTGAAAAGCCATCTTACAAGACACCCTCTGCCACAGTACTTCAGTTTATGTGACGCACTTGCGGGAAACCAGAACTCTCAGATTCAGTGATGCAACTTCATGGCCTTGGTGCTGTCCACTGGTTAACTGTATGCTTGTCTATCTTCACTGCTGATATATGAAAGGCTGTATGTTCAGCATCATAAAGAACAAGTGTATAAAGTACTTTTGTGTATAATCACATGCATACACCGATCAGGCATAACATTATGACCATCTGTACATCTGTATACAGATGTACACCTGTATCTTAACAAGCTCATAATATTCACTAATCATTAATAAAGCAAATGTTATTTTAATAGATCTAGCCTATATGTATTAAATCTAACTTAAAGTCTCATTATATATGTCAAAATAGATGCATGAGGCTTCATGAGTCAAGAATGAAGTCAAAATGTGAATGCATGTGTAGTTTTGCCTGTGACTCCGGGACGTATTTTTGAATGGTCACTGTTGTAAATTCATATTTATATTGAGGAAAGCACAAACACAAGTGTTCACTTCTTACTTGTAATTCTTTTTTAACTTTTTAAAGCATATTCTCACAGACTAAATACACACTACATATTTTATATATGATTTGACTTATACTAGTTTACAAAAACACTATTTTGTATACAACTTAATTTATGCATAATCAGACTAATACACATGCATATTATTGAAAGCTGTCTGACCTTGTAGTCTTGTTTCTTAATGGGAAACATGTCAACCAGTGTAGCTGGCAGTGCACCTTTAAAGCTGTACGGTGTTGTGGCCTCTCTGACAGTTAATGATCCTTAATTTTCATTGGAAACAGATTTAAAGCTACACAAGAAATCAATAAACTGGTCTTAAAATGCTGCTTAAGTATTTGCCTTCAGTTAAGTTAACCTCTACCAATCTGCCAGGCAAAGAGGAGCATGATAAGGAGGGACGCGTCATCACTGCTGAGTTCCCCAACTTCTACCTGGTGACTGCCTATGTGCCAAATGCTGGCAGAGGCCTTGTGCGCCTAGATTACCGCAAAACCTGGGATGTAGACTTCCGGGCATTCCT